TGGAGGTCTAGGAGGGAAGGCACCTCTGACTTAGCTTCGTTTCATGAAATCAGAACCTCACAGGAGCTGTTTGGTGCCCCTCCCAAATAATCAATCCAGCTAGAGGGCCCTGGGGAGGCCTATGGGCATTAAGCAAGACCCTGGAATCAGCTCTCAGTGATGTTTATTATATTGAACAACGAGAGGACTTGAGGGAGTAAGACACAAGAGAGCTCATTTATTTATTTATTTTTTATTTAAATATTTTATTTTATATAATTCTTACATCTTTTTTCATCTTTGCACAATGTATGCGTTTTCATTTTGGTTATATTCCCCACACAATTGCACCTCCCCCCTTATTTTGACTCTAGCCCTTCCTTCCCCCCCCCTCCAACATAGTGTGTCTCTGGCTTATAGTTGCTTGTTGATTTTGATTTTTACTTTGCATTGATTAGTCTTTTTCCTGGTCTCTTATTTAGGTTTTCTAAATTCCTGCTATGAGTGAGACCATCCGGTATTTTTCTTTTTCTTTCTGGCTTATTTCTCTGAGCATGATCCCTTCTAGCTCCACCCATGTTGCTGCAAATTGCATGTGTTTATCTTTTTTGATTGCTGAGTAATATTCCATGGTGTATATGCACCACATCTTCTTGATCCAGTCATCTATTTTTGGGCATTTGGGCTGTTTCCAAAGCTTAGCTATTGTAAATAGTGCTGCTATAAACAGAGGGGTGCAGGTGTTCTTTGGAATGGATGTTTCTGTGTCCTTTGGGTAAATACCTAAGAGTGGAATTGCTGGATCATATGGAAGCTCTATGTTTAGTAGGTCAAGAAATCTCCACACAGCTAAGTGAGCTCATTTTGGAGTTTTACCTTCATTTTGTGGCAGAGAGGAACCTAGAAGATAATGATGCTTACACCTAGAGGAAGGAGATAAGGCCCTCTGAATTCCTCTTCCATGCTCCCTTTGCTGTCCCTTTCCTTCCATGGGAGAGGCCGGGGTGGGTGCACATGGGGTGCACATGGACTCTGATTCAAATTCTGCTGCCTTCCATGCCTCCATCTTGGGGCTGTGGTGCCCCTCACTGCCCACAGCCTTCATGGGAGATGGGGCAGATTAGGGCTAGGGGCAGCAGGTAGGTTTACTGAGAAGTCGGGTTGGGGGAGGGGGAGAGATTCACTTCCTTCCCTTTGTATGAGGTGGTGTGGAGAGAACCTTGGAGAAGAGGTTTGAAAACCTGACACAGTTTCCCTCTGGGCCACACTTGACTCATCTGTAAAACAGGCACACAAGGGCCTCCCCTGGTGGTGCAGCGGTTGGTTCCCCGGCTGCCGGCGAGGGTACACAAAAAAACAAACAAACAAACAAACAAACAGCCATCACATTAAAACACTTAAAAAAAAACAAAAACAAAAACAGGCACACAAGCATCTGCCTCCCGGGGCTGGGGGAAGGTCAAGTATGGTGAGGGATATGCACCTGTGGACTGCAAGTTGCCCACCTCCAGGTGAGGGTGACTTGTTGCCATCGGAAGGGGCCTCTGTGTCCACAAATGCAAGGAGCAGGGCCTTGTGTGCATGGAACTGAAGGATGAAGGGAGTGTTTGTGCATGTGTATGGGAGGTGAGGGGGCCAACGAGGAGATAGGTATCTGGAACATCTCGAATGACAGGAGGAAACACTTGCCTTTGCAAGGCTTCAATGCAGAACAATCTGCAAGACTATCCCCCCTGAAGACTGCATCTTAGAAGAAGGGAGAGAGTGTGTGGATGTATGTAAGAGGGGGATGGAGAAGATTGCCTCAGCCCCTTCCTGCGCCTGGACTTAAGGCAAGAGACTAAAGGAAGCAGGTGTATGGAGAGATGGGTGTGGAGCTCTGGATGGTGAGCAAATTGAGGAGGGTGGGTCTTGAGTCAGTCGGGTCCCTCTTACCATTCCTGGGGCTCTGTCCAGGTTTGGAGGAGGGTTCTCAAGCCTAGGAAACCCTGCTAGTTTACCCGCTTGAACACAGGGCAACTTCTCCCTGGGTGAGATCCAGGAAACTGTGTGGTGGGGAGCTCCCACCGGTGTGGTTGCTTCCCAAGAGTCCTGGGACAGTTTTTTGGGGGGCCTATGGGGTTGAGGGTGGGCCATTTCTTTGGCAGAAGTAGCCCCATTGTGCTGACCTGTGTGGAGGAGGGGACCCGGCTCCAGGCTTGGAGGCTAGAGAGTGCAGAGCACAGCTGCTCTGGGCCACAGCATTTCCCAGAGGCCTTTCTGCCTCCAGCCCCCACATGCTGGCAGATCTTCTTCCTAGAATCACTCAGGTCCTTCCTAGATGCAGTCTGACCCAGACCTTGGGGCCTTGGGGATCAGTCTGGTAGGGGGAAGAAAAGAAGGAGCCACGGATTGGAAAGGGTTGTTGGTCTGCCAGCCTGGATCACTCCGATGGTCTCTGGACGGAATGCTCTGTGGGGGCATCTCTGGTGGCAGTGGTGTGGGCAGGGCAGCAGGGGAAGTGGATCCAGGAGGAGCTGAGCTCACGACACATCGCAGCTGTGGTCTGAGCATGTGGCTCCCGGGACAGTTACAGGGTCCAGCAATGGGCCCACCCATCTTCCTTCCTGTCCCTTCCCTGGGCGGGAAAGGGTGGATGTCCTTCAGGCTGGGTTCTGGTCTGAGGAACAGCAGCAGCAGATCCATCTGTGTGACACATCATGCGGGTTCTTACCTCTCCCAGGTGGGGCAAAGGATGGCGGGCCACCGAGGAGGAGGAATGGCCCCCGGGGCTCCAGCCCGATTTCCAACCACAAGCATTTTCCTACTGTGGCGGGCACCGGGACCTGGTGGGAAATGGTATTGGCTAGCACCCCCAGCCTAGGATCCAGGACCCAGTTGTTGCCAGTGTAGGGTGGCTGTGTGGTGGGGAAGGAGGGCAGTGGTCCCCTTGCCTGTCTGCAGCCCCCATGCGCTGTGCAGGGGTGCTAGGGGTGGGAGGTCTGGGCCTGCGGCTGCGGCTGTGGCTACGGTTGGGCTGGTCCAGGTTGGAGAGAGGTGGGACTCAGTACTGCCCTCCCTTCGTGCCAGCTGTACGCGGGCTCTGACATTTGTTGGATGTGAGCAATAGGCTAATTTTATGTAGTTCAGGCTCAGCAGGAAACCAACGCTTAGGAGCCAGTATTTCTTCCGGGTGGCTCTGGCCCAGGAGTGACAGGGCAGCGGGGAGGAGGAAAGGCTTTGACCTCGGACCTGGAGGGGGTACTACGGCCCTTATCCTTCCCCAAAGGTGCTGAAGCCGGTACACTCTGGAGTCCAGAGAAGGAAAAGGTATTTTGGAAAGAAGATAGTAGATTCATTCTTGTATTTCTCCTTTTTCTCTATCTGTGCCTTTCATTCCTGGAATCTGGGTTCTGGCAGAATACCGGACACATACATAGCAGATCCCTAGAACGTGTTGCTGGAATGACTTGAAAAGCAGGCATGGAACACTACTTCTGAGGACCACTAGGGGGCGCTGAAAGGCAGGCATTGAAAGGTCTTCTAAAGCAAAGTCTCCTCAACCCCTGGCAGGAGTTGAGTGTCTAATCTTTTCCTTGTGCCTCCTGGGGTCTCCTCTACATTTCAAGTCCTCCCAACTGGAAGAATCCTGACACTTATTAGAATTTCAGTACTTGCTTCAAGGGCTCTGGTTCTAACAAGCACCAACCTTACCTGGCACAAACTGTCAAACACCCAGGCTGGTGGGGTGTGGGGAGGGGGGGCGGACACCTGTAAATCCCTGTCAGCCAGCCTCCTCTGCTACTCTGGAGAAGTGGCAGGGAGCTGCAGGTTACCTCTTCAGACATGAACAGGCCCTGGAGGAAAGCATATGCTCATAAAAATAATGGGATTCCACGGCTTTGAAATCTAATGATCCCGAGTGATCAAACACAGGCTCAGGCCTTGGGGCTACTGGGGGAGGGACTGAGGGGGCAGCAGACCTTGGGTGGCAGAGCCCGGGGCCAGGCAGCAGGACAGAGTAATTAGTCTCAGTGGGAGGAGATGAGGAGGCTGGACGCCTGAGGATGTGTGTGCACTGAGTCAGGGGAAAAAAGACAATAGCCAAGAGCGGGGTGGTAAACCATCATCTCCCAAAGGAAAACTGGTCTCTTCTCTTCGCCTCTCCTCTCGCCTCTCCTCTGCCCAGTGCTTGGCTATTATTTGTAGCTCTTGGGTTACCGGGAGTGTAAGGGCAGTAGGTGGGGCCAGTTCTCCAAGGCCAGGGCTGCATGAAGGCCCGGAGTACCTAGGAAATGAACAACAAAAGCACCTGCAGGCTGGGAGTTAGGGTAACCTTGAAAAGATGGGTTGTGCTGAAAGTCAGATTTGATTTTTTGCTCAGAGCTCTTCCTGCTCACACCTATTTGGAAATGGGCTCTCGACATAGTTCTTGAAGTCAATAGGCAATGCGCTCCCACGTCCCTGGGTTGGTTTCCTCCTCTGTAAAAGGAGAGGTTTGAACAGGACTGGAAGTCAACTACCTGAGGTCAAGTTTCAGCCCGCTCTGTTACTGATGAACTCCGAACCCACTGCCATCCTTTCCTATCGACAAGCCTCAGTTTCCCCCAGTAGCATTCTAAGCTTACTCCCAGCTTTGTTGCTGGTGTAGGTCTCTCTTCTGCATCACCATCAACTCAGACTGTCACTCACTGGCTGTAGAACCCAGAAAGGGGACTTGAACTGGATTACTGACTGGGAAGGTATTTGCCAATTTTCAACTTAGCATGTTTGTAGCAAGGTGGTAACCTTGGCGGGGCCTCTGCTCTGACACAGCCATTAACAATTCTCATTTTGTGAAGCAACCACATTTCCCCTCAGAGCTCCCCCAAAAATGCAGTCCGGCGTAGACTCCCCAACTCCAACCCCCTATATAGCTCCTTTCCCAGAAATTTTATTCAAAATGTGATTTTAGTTCTGAAGTCAAACGTCCTGCTGTTAACCAGGTTAAGACAATCTCACCCGTGTAGGCAACATAGGTACCAAAGTTAGATTTTTAGATCTTTTTATTTTGTTCCAAACCTTTTGAGGATTTTAATGTCCCAGATCTCAAGCTCCCAAATTTTGTTCATTTTCCTAGATTTAACTGTGGTGTATAAGAGGCTGCATCCTACCCTAAATATTAATACTGTGCTGCTTTCGCCAACCAACATTCTCTCCAAAAGCACACAAGTCCACGCATGCGCACACACGTGTAGCGTAAGCAAATGGGCACCCCGCCATATTATGTGATACCTGATAGGGCAGATTTGGGACCTGTGAATGTCTTTCTTTCACTTGGAGAGAAATGGGTGGCAGCTTGATTCTTAAGACTTATCCAGACTGTGAGAAACAGAGGCGGCCCTGCCAACTGCCTTCTGGTGACTTGGTGGAGGTGGGGCGGGGGTGAACGGCAGCAGGGACTCGTTGCTCCAACAGTTTTAGTGGTCTCTTTTGCGAGTTTTAAGTCACCTGGGCCCAGCTTCTCCTGTTCCACTGCTATTGGAACTCGAAGTATAGTAATCAGGCCCTTCCTAGCCACAGTCAGGAACCGGTGGGTTTCCCTTTGTGCAGCTGACACAAACTGGAATGGGATTAGTGGAGAGGGCTCAGGACTCTGGACTTGAATAAGGCCATCAGAGGCCAAACATGCCTCAGCTGCCAGCTTGTAATGGAAAAACTTAGGGTGGGGACCATTGTCTTCTTTAGAGTCCCTGGGGGCAATTTCATTCTCCTGGATAGCCCTGGCTGGGGGTGGCAAATCACTGTTAGCTCCAAGTGACAGCCAAGTATTCCTGGCAAGATGATGAAAAGTTAGAATAACAGATGGAACACAACAGAAAGGAGAGAGGCTGAGCTCCTAAGAGGGAGGGGTGTGCTAACTGGACACAGCCTGGTTGTGAAAGCTCATCTGCACGCGGACTGTTGTCCAGAGGCTGCATATAGGGAAGCGTCTAGCATCTATTTCAGGAGGTTAAAGATGTCCAGAGCCTACATTTCTTGGCACCTTTAGTGCCTGCTAAGCAGAGTGGCCCAGGATGCTTGGCGCAGGTGACACCCTGGGTGGTAAAGACTGCATGGTCTCCCCTTCCTAAAATAAATTGTCCAACCCTACATGCAGCTGCTGCCTGAACCTTTTTGGGATCCATATTTAGGAATGGGATGTTCCCTAGAACATCCCCTTTCCTGGCCTGGATCTGGTGGAAATACTGACCTGTCACGAATAATGAGAAATGAAGGCGTTGATCCTTCAGGTCAGTAATGGTTGCCCCTCCTCCCACCGGTGCTAGCCCTGTTCAGTCCTTTTCTGCCTGCTGAGATGAAAGGAATTTCTTCACATTTTGACAGGTGGATATAAGGATGGAGAGTTGGGAGGGCCTCCAGGTTAAGCATTGGCCTGGGAAATCTATAAAAATCAGTGAGTGGAACCTTAAAAATTAGTAAGGGTGCTTTGGGTCCCTTTCTATGTGAGACTATGCTTCCAGTCTATGATTATAGCAACCTGAGCCAAAAAGTGAGATGTGACTCAGTCTGAGATGAGTGGGGTTGATGCTAGTGTTAGGGGTGAGTTGGGCCAAGATGAGGCTAGTTGGCCCAAATTCTGGGTCCCTCCTTTCTTCAAGCACCTATGTGTCTAAGACAGTCATAAAAAGAAATAGAGGGTGAAGAGAAGGGAGAGGAAGCAGCAGAGGAAGAAAAGGAAAAACAGAAGAAGGAAGCAGACTGCTAACCAGCTGTATGGTGGGGAGACTACCTGTACACTTGTAAATTGATGGCACCCACAGCTCTTGGGAAGCCACAGCCCTCAGAGACTCTGAGGCTAAAGAAGTTTCCTTGTCTTATTTTGCCTCTCTGCCCTCTTTCCTCTCCCAGCCAAATTCTCCCTAGTACAAGGAAGTCTTCAGCACGCAGAGGCTTGGGTCTCCTCACCAGGCTTCTGGGAACGTAGTAGCACCTTTGGCAGTTGCTTTTAGTGGTTGACTAAAGAGCTGGGGCCAAGAGGTCCCATCCCTCCCTTCCCCCAGGTGTTACAAAGTATATGGAGAGGTTCCAAAGGCCAGGGGCTGAGCCTAAGCCTTCCTAGATCCTGGCAGAGGAAGGGCCCTGGCAAGTTTAAAGGCATTCATGGGGAGAGTTTGGTTAATGAGTTTGGAACACCTGGAGCCTTGGCTCCGAGGGGATGGTCAGGAGGCTGAAACACTGTGTGCACAGGACTGGGAATATGTGTGCTAGTGGCAAAAAATGTAAATGCTGAGCAGGGCATGGTGAAGGGCAAGGGCTGGGGAGGAGCACACAACAGCAAGGAAGAGGCATTAGATAGGTTCCTCAGGGGTGGGGGAGCCCGGCAGCAGCTCCCCATTGGGGTCCGGGTCAGGGGCCAACATCTTATCCTTGCTGGAATCCCTTTGCTCTTTCTTGAACATCCTTTGGTGCATCAGAGGGACAAAGAAGAGTATCACAGCCCCAATGATGGGAGGCACACCAGCAAAGTAGAAGGCCACATGGTAATCCCCAAAACAGTTGCGAAGGAGGCCTGAAAGAGTGAAGAGAAACAGGTCAAGCTCAGTGTTGCCCTACTGTCTACAGGTGAGCTCTACTCAAGGATCCATCATTATACCTGTCCAGAAAGTCTTGGCCTGCACCACCTTGATCTGGAAGGCCCCTCCACTTCTACACTGCTGGATAGAAGAAGTAAAACCTCTCTTACAAAAACAGGCAGCTCCTCCCCGAGGCTCTGAGGCTTAAGCTCATGAGGAAAGAAACTAATGAAGCATCTCTGAAAATTCTCCATTTGTGACTTCCATAAAGCTATAGATAAGTAACGTCTGGTCTCTTCTAGATATTGAGCTAGGAAAGCTAGTTCAAAAAGTCCACAGAAGATGCCCAAACATGGTTCGCCATGATATACCTCCTACCTCCATCTTGGGTTAGAGTGTTCTTGTGGAACAAGCTAGTTGAGTTCCCATTTGCCCTAAGAGAAGTCTGTACATGTGCTTTTCCTTCTTGTTAGGGAGAGGTTGACCGCTTTGGGTTCCTCTAAGCTGCCAATACCATGGATGTGTTTGACCTGGGATGCAAGGCTCCCCTGCCCATCTCCAGAAGCTAATGTGGGGTACCTCATAGGGAGGATGAACCCAGAAACACCACTCAGGAAAGGCAAGCAAGCCCTGGAACTGCTTAGGAGGTAAGCCGAACAAAGAGCTATCAGTTCTGGGATCTACCTCTAGGATCAGAGGTTGGGTAGAGGCTCCCTCCCCACAGTGGACAATGTGGCTGTGACACAAAGGCCTGAAAGGAAGCTTTTGCCACTGTCACACAGTATGACTGATGCCCTCACAATACCTTCACAGAACTGGTGATCAAAAAGTATTTGTTAAGTTAGCTCAGTTGACCAGCCTAGGAGATGTTAGCCCATGCATCAATATTTGCAATAAATCCTAAAGAAAGGAAATGAAGTTCTCTTTTTTTTTAGTTTTCCCTGTTTCCTACGTTCCCAGGAGTACTAAAAATGCCCTTTTGGGAGAGTTGGGAGAGAAATTGGGAATGCTGAAAGATGGCAAGCCATCACTTTACCAGCTGCGTGCCGGAAGTGAACATTACTGCCCCAGTCCTGGGAAGTAGCCTTAATTGAATCTCACCTGGTCTCAATTCAGAAGCCAGTAGAGGAGGGGAGAGGGTATATCTAAGTGTTAATAAAATGAGGGCCAGGGCCTCCCTGGTGGCACAAGGGGTTAAGCACAGCACTGGAAGCTATCTGCAGCATGAATTCCATTCCTAGCCTGCCAGGGAGCTACCCACATGACACAGCAGATCTCTCCTGTCCTGCCCGCTGCTCCACTCAGCAGTGTATTTCATCAGTCTGCCTCTTCTGTTCCCCACTGTCTCTGGTGAATCCTCTCACCCTCCCACGCATCTGGCCTGTGCCCCAGTTCTTGTACGCATAAATAAATAAATCTTAAAAAAAAATTAAAAAATAAAAGGAGGGCCACTTTCTCTTTTCTTCCTGCCCAATTACCTAGCAAATACTTGGCTCTAGAGAGAGAGGATCCAGGATCATTACAATGGCCGAAAAGGCCAAATCCATTTCTCTGTCCCCACCCTTCTGGAATCTGCCACACTGTCTACAATTAAACACCACTGAAACATACACATCCATGAAAAGCCCATCCCTCCAAGTTAATCTATTCAAGAAACCTCTGCTTTGCCTCTCCCCCAGCCCCAAGCTGTAGTTACAGGAGCTTTCATGTACTCTGTCAAGGCTGCTTAACAGAGAAAAAGTGGGAAAGGGACCTCAAGCAGACGTGCTCAGATAGCGAGGGCCCTGAGAAGACAGGACTTACCCACTCATACCATCCCCGGAATATCCTCCTCACCTGCAATTGGGGGCCCAGCAATCATCGGCAGTGCCATCATGCCCAGGAGGTAGCCAATCGCCTGTGAGGCCTGCATTGGGCCCACCAGCTCGAATGCGATGGGGGCCATGATGGTGATGAAGAAGCCATCACACAGGCCCAGGAAGAGGCAGACAACGATGAGGCCCCCAAAGCCCTGGCATAGGGGGATCATCATGGACATCAGACCCAGGAGCAGGAAGGAGATGACCTGGGGAAGCAAGTGTATGAGGTCATGTGCTGGCTGGCTGAGACCACATCGCAAATCACACCTCTCTCGGGGCCTGTGTCTGCCATCTATAAAATGGGGCTGGTAGGGGGGCTGTCAGCAGAGCAAGCACTTGGGTAAATAGTAAATTGGCCCCTTCTAAGTTCTGTACTGAAGAGTTCAGCATTTTTCAGAGAACCCCAATTTAACTGTATGTCAAGATTTTTAAAAAGGGGAGAGGAAACATGGCCACCGTCCTCAAGAATTTGTCTTTGTACTGGACTTTGAGATAAAGGGAATTGTTTCTGCTTTTTTAAATTTTTTTTTAATTTTATATATTTTTTACATCATTTTTCATTTTTGCATAACAATTCCTGTCCCCCTGTTTCTGCTTTTGGATGCTGTATTTGGCTGTCCCAGGCATCAGGGTGTGGGATCAGAATATACTGGTGTTCTCAGATCCAACTAAGATGTGGGGAAAAAGAAGGGGAGGAAGTGAGGGTGATTTTTGATGATGATAAAATGGGGGCATAAATGAAAAGCACAGCTTCCTAAAATGGGAAGGAGGAAGTGCCCATATTTGCGGGGTGCTGATTTTAGTAAACACCTTGGCATGAAGGAGACCATTGGGAGGTTCACCCAGGTTCCTTATGCTTTAGGTCATTGGACACACCACCCTTCTCAGACATCTCAGACAGCGTGGCTCTGGGAGCCTCTGGGTTTGGCCGGGCATCCTGTGAAGGCAACAAAGACGAGTTTAAGGAAGGCCAAGCCACTAAGAGGGGGAGCCTGAAGTCCACATTGAGGCAATGACTAGCCACTGGGCTTTCTTCGGGCTGAGTAATGACTCCAAAACAAAGAAATGTCTTTTTGGCAGCTAGTTTTTCCTTTTTTTTTTTTTTTTTGGTGGGACCCTCGCCGGCCGCCGGGGGACGAACCGGCGCTGCAGAGGCTGCGGGCAGCCTTGCAGCCCAGCGCTCAACCGCTGCACCAACAGGGGAGGCCCTAGTTTTTCCCTTTTGATGAGAGAAGGACCACTAGAGATACTCTGGCTTTTCGATATGGTTATTGTAACCATATCGTGCTGGGGAGTCAGACTGAAGATGTTGGGTCTAGGCAAAGAAAGGAGGCCCCTCCGATCACAACCGTAGCCAGCAGAGCCAGCTCTTCCGAGGGTCAGGCCTAATGCCTGATCTGTTCAGATTTTCACGGACCCCGGATTTTGTGATAGTTCACACAGACAGGTTGCTTTCCCAGAAACACATGGAAGTGGTAGGATGGTCAAAGCTGGTTTAATCCCTAAATATTTTCTATGTTATTGCTGGTAGTAGATTTGTTAGAGTTGATAGGTTTTTGGAGATGAAATGTCCTGGCCATGCCATCTCGGCAAATCTCCTTGTTGGGGGACTTTTTTATTTTATTGAGGTAACATTAGTTTATACTACTGTTTAGGTGTCAGGCATACAGTTCTCATCTCAGTAACTGTATATATCATCCCATGCCCACCACCAACCAATTAGTCCCTTCTATCTGTTCGCTTTCTTGGGGAACTTTAGAACTTTGTCCATGCTATTTTGGGATACCTATGCAGAGTAAGGAATAAGAACCTGGGTATTCCAGGTTCCATTCTAGGAGATTCATATACAACTATAAGGTAAAACCAGGCCCACCTATCAATGAAGACATGATGGCTGGCAATTAAGAGTTAATACCATAATACAGGGCCTCCCTGGTGGCGCAGGGGTTAGAGTCTCAGTGCTATCAAGTTATTCCCAGGCACCATGGCATGAGTTCCATCCCCGGCCAGGGAGCTAACCCACATGGCACAGCAGACCTCTCCTGTCTCTCCCACTACTCCCCTCAGCAGTTCATTTCAGTATATGCATCTTTTCTGCTCCCCACTCTGTCTCTGGTGAATCCTCTCACCCCCACACCTCTGGCCTACACCCCAGTTCTTTTATGCATACATAAATAGAAATAATAACTCTTTTAAAAAAGAGTTAATACCATAATACAAGTCATATATGACAGAACCACAGCTACATCATATTCAATGGTGAAAACTGAAAACTTTTCCTCTAAGATCACATATAAGCAGAGGATGTCCACTTCCACTACTACTATTCAACATAGTACTCTAAATCCTAACTAGAGCAGTTAGGCAAGAGAAAGATATAAAAGGAATCCAAATGGGGAAAAAAGTAACTATCTATCACTCTTTGGAGATGACATATTATTATACTTCAAAAACCATAAAGACTCCACTGAAAAAAACTATTAGTAACGAGAATTCAGTATAGTGACGTGGCTGCTGACAAGATCAATTTACAAAAATCAGTTGTATTCATGCAAACATGAACTAGAAGAGAAAGGAATCAAGAACACAATCCCATTTAAATTTCAACAAAAAGAATGAAATAACTGGAATAAACTTAAAGGAGGTGAAAGAGCTCTCAAATGAAAACTATAAGACATTGTTAAAAGAAATAGATTTCATGATTAAATAAATGGGACTACATTAAACTAAAAGGCGTCTACACAGCAAAAAAGAAAAAAAAATTATATTAAAAGAAAAAGCACCCTACCAAAGGAGAGAAAATATTTACACATTATACATCCAACAAGGGGCTAATACCAAGATCTACAAAGAACTCATACAACTCAACAAAAAGAAAACAACCCAATTAAAAAATGGACAGAAGAGCTAAATAGACACTTCTCCAAAGAAGACATACAAATGGCCATCACTTGCTCATCATTTATGATCAGGGAAATGCAAATAAAAAACACAATGAGATACCACCTCACACCTGGGAGAATGGCCTGTGTCAAAAAGATCAGATACAGGGGCCTCCCTGGTGGAGTAGGGGTTAAGTCTGGGCACTATCACACCCACTGCTGTGGCCTGAGTTCCCTGGCCAGGGAGCTGACCCACATGGTGCAGCAAACCTTTCCTATCTCACCCACTGCTCCCGTCAGCAGTGTATTTCAGTAGATCTGCCTGTTCTGCTCCCCACTCTGTCTCTGGTGAATCATTCCATCCCCTGCACCTCTGGCCTACACCCCAGTTCTTCTATGCATATATAAATAAAATGAATTTTTTTCAAAAAATTCATTAAAACAAAAAAAGATCAGACACAACAAATATTGGTGAGGAGGTGAAGAAAAAGGAACCCTCGTGTTTTGTTGTACAATGGTGGGAATACAGACTGGTCCAGCCCCTGTGGAAAACAGTATGGAGGTCTCTCAAAACATTAAAAATAGATTTATCAAAAAAAAATAAGATAAATAGATTTACAAAAAAAAAAAGATAAAAATAGATCTACCATATAATCCATCAAGTCTTCCTAGGTATCTATCTACCTGAAGAATGCAGAAACACTAATAGGAAGGGGGATATACATGCCTGTGCTCATTGCCAAGTCATGGAAACAACCTCAATGTCCAAGGACAGAGATGTGGATTAAGAAGATGCGGTATATAGACACATGATGGATTGTTACCCAGCTATAGAAAAAGATGAAATTGTGCCATTTGTGGTATCATGTATGGGACTGATGACAATTATTTTGAGCACAAAAAGTCAAAAAGGAGAAAGGTAAATATCAGACGGGTTCATTCATATGTGGCATACGGAGAAATAAAACAAAGGAACAGTCAAAGCTAAACTAAAAGAAATCCTATGTGTCTACAGAATTGAGGCGACAAAAAGGGGAGGGGAGAGTGTGGGGTCCAGTGAACTATGGGTGCTTAGGTAGTGGTTATGGTGGCAACATACATCTGAAGAGGTATGAATCTCTACTCCTTAAGTCATATACAGTAAAATCGGTAAGAATATCACTGAAAAAGAGCTAATAACATTATATAACAAGTACCCCATTAGCTGACTTCAAATGGCTCTGAATTACTACCTATTGTGTTCAGCAGCCTCTAACATCCTTCATGAAGCCTCGTCAAGGTCCAGAAATTAAAAAGCCCTCTTGGTACCAAAAATCAGGCATCAAAGAATTGACCCAGAGTGAGGCTGTCTTGCAGGGTGTCACCAGTTTCTTTCCCACTGACTGCAGGGACTTGATGCTAGACACACGTGCCTGTCTAGGCCAACAGCAGGACCCACAGGGGCTAGTTAATTAGCCTTCAGAACCTGAAGCTGTATCTACTCCTCTCCTCTCCCAGGACCGCTGCTCCTGCATTTGATTCAGGGTAAAAGGAAGGCGAATTCCTGCAATAGAACATCTTGAGCAGTTCAAGAGAAAAAAGTTCATCCATTATCCTGGGCTCTTGGCCCGAGATATTCATCAGCAGGATCAGTCGGAACACATCACGTTCCCTCCCTGGGCTTGTTCTCAATGTGTCAAATGAGGGAGTTGAACTACAAGTTGATGAAATGTTTCAGCCATGATGTTCTAAGATTGTTTTCTATTATTCTAAGAGGTAAAACTGGGTCATAAGAGTGAAGAGGAGAGCGTGGCATGTAGAGGAAATGGGCAGCAGAAATACAGGGCCTTAAAGCTAGTGTTGCTTCTACAGAGCTAATGTCTCTGTCTTCCCGAGACCTCCTTCTGCACCAACCTTCCCTCTAGCTCTCTCCTAGGAACAGTGGTGACAATGGAGCTATACAGATAGGCAGGGGCTGCTGCTTCTCTTCAAGATAAAGCCCTTCCCCAATGCTAATGTAGTCTGATTTCTAAGACCCTTTGGCGTCCTGAAGCTGCTGAGACAAATGAGGAAGACTAACAAGGGTGACAGGTGGAAGAGCCTGGGAATGTCACACAGATTTATATGCCAAAAAAAAAAAAGTCACTCAGATAAGGAACTTAACGATATTTGCACAGGAATTCAAAATCTCATACTTCGATTATTTCAAGCACAGGCTTTTGGGTTGACCTTGCTCAAGTCACTTAGTTTCACTGGGACTTGATTCCGACACTCACGATTTAGGGTAAAAAAGTGTCCTACATAGGAGTTCAGCTCGGCCACTGCTGTCTCTCAGTTTCTCCATCAATGTAAAGGAGAGGTTGGACTAGATCGACCGGAAGGACACCCCTAGCTCTGACAAAGCAAATTCACCACCTCTTTCAAACTTAAGGAAATTGTAACCACACCCTTGACCGAGATATTGCATATATTTAGGAAATTCCCACAAATTTAGGTCTATCAGAAGAGAGGAACTCCCTGTCAAGTGTAGTCAGGGCCCTCTTGGAGGTGCTTTCGGGATCTCCCCAGGAGAATAGAACTCATGCAACTTCCTGACAGATTGTATGTGGCCACATGTACTCTGCCCCCCCCCCAAGATTGCACACCTGGGCACCTTCTGGTCAGTCCATCTGCAGGAGCAAAGAGTACCAGCTAGGCCAGAAAGGCAGTACAGCTACCAGGTAAGCAAAAGCAGCGCAAACAGCAGTCTGTGTTCAAGCAGACCAGAGCCCAGGCCACACAGAAAGTGGTTTCTCGAGCATCCACATGGCTACTGCCCACAAAATGAAGGTAATTGTGGCACTGTCAGGAGGACGACAGCCTTACAGTCATACAAATATTTTTCCTTCCCAAAGCCTGGTCATACCCATATATCTTTTGATTCTCCCCTTTGAGGTTAAGGGAGGAGAGGCAAGAATTATTCTCATTGTACAAATGAGAAAAAGTGAACCCTAGAGAGAGGAAGTGAGGGCTGGCCTTTTCTGGCACTTTTTGTGTGTGTCCATTAATGGGACGGTATCTCAGAGCCAGCGCTTGGTGGCCCGTAGCTGTGGAAATGGAAGAGGTGGGGGAGCTGGGCCTGGGCCTAAAAGAGAGAGGAACCAGGCCCAGAGTGCTATGGACGCCTGAGGCCCCCCAAAAGAGTGTGGGACGATGAGGTCAGGCTCCTTGGGGGCAGCATCTAATTCTCTGGCCTCAGTTTCACTTTTTCAGATGGGAGATCATTATGAATAAAAACCTTCTCTGACAGTGTTCTTACAGCTTCCATTCACAGCGCCCTCACCTCAGTCCATCCTGAGATGGATGATTCTCTTCATTTGAAAGCAAGGGAAAGGGCTCACAGAATTTGACTTTCCCGCATCATCTGCAAGCCGGCGTCACAGCGGGGTTGTAGGGCACAACAGAGGCACACCCGACCATTCTATCCCAACATCTGGGGATAACCTACCATCTGGGTCAGGCTGCTCCTCCCCACAGCGAACAAGCTGGTCACTCACCTGCAAGTAGATCTTCTTAAGTCCAGGAATGGAGTCGCTGACACGGCCTGACACAAGGCGTCCGAGGCCTGAGGTAGCCCCAATACACACCAAAAGCACCCAGGTCTGCTTGATTTCTAAGAACTCCTCTTCCACATACTTCATCTGAAAAACATAGCACCAGATCCCCAGGAAGAAGAGGAGCCAAATGGTTAACTGTTTGGCACATCCAGAACCTTTTGTTTACTTCCCCCCCCCCCCCCCAGGACAAGAGTACCGCCCCTGCAGCCAACTCTGAGGCAAGCCCTCTGGCTGCTTCTAACAACTTAAAAGGCTTCATATCCCCTGGATCTCTGGACTTGAGCTTCTGAGCACCAGCTGAGAGGGGTGGTGTCTCTAATTCCTGGCAGAACAGAATACAGCCTTAACGACTGAGAAAATGCAAGGGCTCCCCTACAATTTCCCTTTCCCTGACCCAGAACTGCCAGCCTGGAACAACAGCAGGTCACAGAAACAAGAGGTCTGTGTGGAAGATAAGCAGCACAATAACTGGCAGTTCTGAAGCCATAGAAATTTGGGACCCGCTTGCTAAACAAAGCTGAATGGGTTTCTTGACTGCAGGATTTTCAGCGCTTTGAAAAGATTGCTGCAGACTATGAAGCTAGAGAGGCCTAGTGTATGCTAGTTCCTAGGCCAAAATCATTTGATTACAAAGGCCAGCATCCCATGCTCTACCCTTAGTTTCCTGCATCCTGAAAGTATATCGCAATTTGTTAGTGGGGGAAACACAGACAAGAGCCTGCCCCTGAAGAAGACCTCCCCATTTCATTGTTCTCTTTCCCTCTTCAGGGCTTTCCAACTACTATTTTGTCTTTTTCAAAATCTCTGCTTTTTCAATGTCCTCCGCCCCTACCCTTGGGACTTCAGGCAGGTTAAAGGGTGCTTTTAGGGTCAGCTTGGGTCAGGTCAGGTGGGCCAACCCCAGGGTTCCTCACCAGGTGTACATAGGGAACGAAGTAGCCAAGGGCAGCAGCAGCGATCCCGAAGGCCCAGATGCGGTAGGTACGTTGGCGGAACACTCGCATATTGAAGTACTTCCTGAGCTGAGCCAGAAAGCGCTGGCATAGGGTGTGGACACCTCTCTTGCTTGGGGTGTCCTGAGAGCTGGGCAGGAGGGGCCGGTAGGTGAGTGAAAGCAGCATAAGAACGAACATGAAGGTACTCAGCACCTGGAAGGTTTGGGCGAGCTTGATCTTAGCCCCCAGCGTTTTGATGAGGAGGGGGAAGGATATGGAGAAGATGCTACTCCCAGCAGACACCACACCATTGGCCAGACCCAGGCGGCGTTGGAAGTAGTGGCCCAGGATGACGAGAGATGGCTGAAAGGCGAAGGAACAGCCACAACCAAAGAGAATCCCGTAGGTGAAGTAACGCAGGCTTAGCGAGCTGTGGGAGAGACGGCAAGAGCTGTGCTCAGCAGCCGGACCAGCAATCCACCCGCCCTTCTCCCTTCAGCCTCCTGAGTCTGCACCCCCCACCATGAGCCCACAGCTGCACTTACCACTGACCCTCAGAACGCACCAGGAATAGGACCCGCTGACCCCATTTTGCAGACAGGTTCAAAGAAGTAAAGTAATTTGCCCAAAGTAGCATGACAGGGGGGCCTGCGGACTTAACTCTAGGTCTGTGAGGCTCTAGTTTGAATCATAGCACCCCATCGTGAAGGACTGTTCAAAAGAAAATCAGAACCGGCTTAGGCAAAAGCTAGGTGAGAGGCTACAAGGAGTAAACCAGTGACTTAAACAGAACAGTTTTAGCTTACCGCTCCCCTAGATACCACGGGGAGACCGGCAGCCAAAGCTTTATCTGGAGTAAAAAGAAAGGTCCATGGGGAGCCAAGATCCTGGAAGGCTGAGGCCCATTTGTTGGACACCCCAATGCTCAGGGTCCTTAACATGTCAGAAAATGACTGTCTCTTGAGAGACAACCCCTCCCCAACCCTGCCCAAAGTCTTGGCATCACAAGATCCTTTGCTCTTGGCATCACAAGATCCTTTGCTCCAGGCCTCGATGATCCTCATGGGGATCCTGAGGTAAAGAGTCCCTTTAACTTCGAGAAGTTGCTAGACATGGTATGGATTAGCTCCCCAAAGTAGCCTGGCTACTTGACAGGGTGTGGAGCCTCAAAAAAACTGCACGCCTGGCCAAATAAGGCAGGTTCTGGCATAAAACTTAGGCCTCACTGTGGCCATAAGCCTCTGTTACAGTGTCAGACGGGGAAAGGCCATGGGAAGGTCACCTTGCTGAGCTGTCTTCCCATAGACAACATTGGCATAACCTCATGTAGAATTTTCTTTTCTTTTTGAAGTGTCCACCTTTTTGCGATAGTTCTTATCTGACCACTGAATTACCTAATAGTCTCCGTGGTCAAGCCCTTCCTCCCTGTAGAATGACCCAGTCCTCTTACTAAAGGACTGAGCCTATGTTGCAGACAGAGATAGTGTGGGCCTAGTACTCATGGTTCCAGTTCCACCACCACTCTACTCTTTTCCCCCTGCTAGCCCTCACTGGATATGTAAAGGCCTTGGTTTCCAAAGAGCTGCCTCCACTTGGAATACATAGGTAAGCCAGACACTTCTCTTCTGTTGGATTCCTTGGGGCTTGCTCCCATAAGTGAGTACCCTTGGAGATTGGCCTGTCTGGGGGTCTTGTCTAAGGGAGAGGAGTCAGCCCTTCAGGGAGGGGCGCTGGTAGAAAGTTCAGGGTGCTGTGCGTGGCAGATCTATTTCTAGTTGGATCTTGGGACAGGAGGCCCCTGAGTAGACTTGCCAAGGCCACCCTAGACCCGTCTGCCCCTCTGCATGCCATCCAAAGGAACTCAGAACAGATTCAGATGACAGGAAGGATGACTTGGAACTCTGGTCACAAGAAAAACCATTTTTCCACTGGGTGTCAAGCCGTCCAGAGTTTCTTGGCTCTGAAGATGTTCTTAGGGAAAGGGCAGGGGGGAAGGAGGGGAGGCTTGGGGGCTGCACAACAGAGTGCTTGCTCCAATGTACCTAAAGAAGAGTAACAGAAGACACATGCACCCCTCCGCCTCCTGCAACTGAGCTTGTGTGGACTGGAAGGAAAATGGGATTCGTATGTTGCTAATTTGTTTACACTTTGCTCGGCTCAGCCTTAAAAAACAGGCCTCTGCTGAGCAGTGGTGAGACTGGAGCCACTTCTGAGGCCTCAGTCCTTCCCAGAAAGAGCCAGGCACCAGCCTGCTGAGGGCAAATGAGGCCGACCACCAGAGGGGTCCTGAAAGGGTTTGGAGTTGCTGCCCTGGGAGGGCTGAGCAGGTTCCAGACAAGACATGGTTTTTCCCTCTTCTGTCCCAACTGGATGGGACCGAGCCAAGAAGCCATTGCAGGCCAGATCCAAGCTCTGCTGGAGGTAGGCTGGACAGCTGGAAATGCTCAAGTCATAAAGAAAGTTGGCCCACCCTCAGAGGGCCCAGTTGTGGCAAAACACAATTATTCTCTGCTGTGAGTGGAACCTTGGGACTAGATAGCATAACCATAGTCTTCTGGGAAGCCAAGCTCAGAAGGTAAATCTGTGACAAATTAGCTCTGTCCTCATTCCAGACATGTCACTGTGGCCACCTCTGTGTCTCCGGGCTGCAATTCTATACCAACCCAAGCAGATTGGAAGTAAGAGGTACCCTGAATTCCAAAGTATCCTTGGCAGAAAGTCAATGGAGTTCTTTAGAAATCTCATCTTTCTCAAGCTGTGGTAGAGGGCTTTTACTTTTCCCCTCCCTGCAGACATGCGGGACTAGCAGAAAAAGAGCAGAAAATGAACTCATAGTCTGTTTCTAGCCTGACTCAGCTGAGTTCTGTTCATGGGACCAATGGGACCAGGGTTTGCGTTTAGCCACATCTAGCTGGGAGATAGGCTCTGGGGTCTGTATCCCAGCATGGATGCTCTGAACCATCCCCTCTCATGCCCAAGAATGCCTTAGAAGAGATGTGAAAAGACCATCTAGTCTAGACCCCTCACATTACACAAACACTGTGGTCCAGAGAGGGGAATGGTTGTCAATTGTTTGCGAGCCATTCAGGGGCCAAAACTGGACTTGAGCCCAGCTACATGAACTCCCAAGCTTAGGTTCCGCTCACCACTTTGGAACACCTGGGCCTTCTTTGGGGACATTCCCTAGTGATACATTCCTGGGGTTCCTACCCAGGTGAGTACCATTAAACAATGATTCCTGGGAGCAGTGTCCTCAAGGACCCTATATGGAAAGAGCCACAGAAGATTTTGCAATGAAAAGAGTGTCACTAGTTGAAGCCCCCCCCCCCTCCAAAAGCCAACCCTCAGCCTTGGGGAAATGGTCAGCAACCCCTAACCTTACCTGGTGAAGGAGCTGGTATGGAGGCCAATGAAAGCGACGGCAGCCCCTGTGGTTGCTGTGATTCGGCAGCCCAAACGATCAGTGAATATACTCACAATAGGAGAACAGAAGAAGATCATGCCCATTGAGAGGGCTCCTACCCATGCTGCAGAAAAAAAAGCACAGACGCCTTAGCTTAATGTGGTATCTAAGGGTGTGGCCGTTACCTTAGTTCATCTTCTCTGACATTCACAGGGGGCATCGCATGGTCTTGCACCGCCAGCCGGTAGTTCCTAATAGTCAGAGAGAAGATTTACATAGTACCTGCAGCAGGGCAATGTGAGGACCAGGAGTCTAGTTCACAAACACACCCTGGGGCAGGAGGCCTTTAGCGATCATCGAATCTATGATGGAACCTTCTAGCAGCCACCACATGGTTTCACAGCATTTCACATCCTCTTTGGCTATTTGGTATGCCATGTGACTGAATTCTCACCAAATCAGAAAACTGGGTAAGAGCGATCAATACACACTGCTTCCAGGCCTGGACTATTACACACAAAAAGTCCACACTTTCCTGTGAGCTACTACAGAGTGACCTTGGAATCCATGTAAGAAGACCAGCAGAACGGCCGCCAGTTCTGTTTGGGTCCCTACATAACCACATAGAGGGAAGTTACCTCTCCCTCTCCAATCCCTTACCCCTGCCCTGAATGTTACATGAGAAATAAACTTCTTTCTGTTAAGCCACTTAATTTTTGAGGGCCATTTGTGACAGCAGTTAAACCAGCTCAAACTGAAACAAAGAGATTCCTCTCTATTGATAAAGAAACAGGTCCATAAATATGATGGGACTTATCAAAGATCACACAGCAAGTTAGTGGCAGAGCTGGGACTCTAAGCCAGCTTTCCTTATTCCTAGTCCAAAGTTCATTGCATTATATCTTCTATTTTTGGGGATGAATGAAGTTCCCTATCACTGAGGCTGTGCAAGCAGAGGCTAGGTGTAAAACAGGGGCTTAAGCCTTGGGGTCAGATTTGGACTAGCCAACCTTTCAGGCCCTTTCAGGGATGCTGAGCTGGATCTATAGCCTTGGGCACTAGGTAGGCTACTTGGCTTCAGGGCCAGGGATCATGTGAGTAAATCAAACTTTCAGGAGCTAAGGGAAGACTTCATTGAAACAGCTTTGTGAAGATGCTAAGACTAAGGAGCAGGGAGACCACAGACACAGGCCTTCTGAAATTGTGCAAGGATACAATGGCAGGTTCAGGAGCCACCCAAAGATCGCTTAGGACACTGCGTGCAAGATTTGGCTAGTCCAAATCAGAGGGTCACTGTGTGCTGAAATTCTTTACCAGAGTCTATGTTTGGCAAATCCCTGACTTCAAACTCAAATAAGAGTTTAATTTGTTTATAACAGCCCTTAAGTGTCTATAACAATCCTCACCAGGGAGAAAGAAATTTGCCTTTTACTTAGATTCTTCGAGCCCATTTCCCCTTGCTCAGCCCTCAGAAAGAAAGTTGTTTTTGTTTTTGTTTTTTTTTTCTGGTTAAAAGCTGTTGTCAAGTTTCATCTTGGACTTCTCTTTCTAGGCTAAATAACCTTAGCTTCCCTTTCTTCTTAATTTCTAAGTAATTTCTTTATTACTTTCAGAGCTCTTCTCTCAACACATTCTATACATCATCATCACCTTCGTCGTTGTCAACATCAAAAAGCATTCATGGCGCATCACCGGAGCAGAGCTCTGGGCCAGCTTCTGGCTCTTTTTAATTGTGGAGCCCTAAATAGGCCAGAGGAGTGCAGTCTGAGGAGGTCAGGGCTGGTCTGCTGCCTATGTCTCTTCCTCAGTGTCTCATATATCCTCAGATCCCCACTGTGAATCTTCCCTTTCGCCCTCTAGAGCCCTAGCTGCTGGGTACTGATCTGGGGCATTAGGAGGCTAGAATTCTCACCACAAACATAACCTCTTACCTTATAATTTCATTTATCAGTGGTGGAACCTTCAGGAAGTCACATAGCACTTCTCTAACACTCGGTCTTTTCATCTATCAAATGGCCTTTAAATTCTCAATATGCCTTCCTCAAAGTTTTTTTAATGATGATTAGATGTAATCATATATATAAGAATTCTGTAAATACCAACAGCCACACCATACAAAGATTAATGCAAATGGACCATAGACAAACATAAAACTTCAACATAAAAAAACTTCTAATAGTACAGGAGAAAATCCTTATGACCTTTAGTAGAACAAATATTTCATAGATATTTACAAATGGTATGATCCATAAAAGATAAAAATTGATACATTAGACTTCATTAAAATTTAAAACTTGTGCTCTTTGAAAAATTCTGTTATGAAAAGGCAAGCCACAGACTGCGTATTTGCAATACACATATCTGACAAAAGACTGGTAATTAGAATACAAGCGTGAGCGGACTCTCAAGACTCAATAAAAAGAAAGTAAATAATCTGATTTAAAACATGGGCAAAAAGATTTGAGCAGACATTTCACATACACTCATGATATGAGTGACAGTTAAGCACATGAAACTATGCTCAATATCATTAATCATTCAAGAACTGCATATCAAAAGCACAGCGAGCTACCTCTACACACCCACTAAAAGGGTTTTTTAAAATGTCAATACCTAGGGTCTCCCTGGTGGCACAGGGGTTAAAGAGCGCTATCAAGCTATCGCCAACCACTGAGGCATGAGTTCCATACCCAGCTGGCCAGGGAGCAACCCACATGGCGCAGCAGACCTCTCCTGTCTCTCCCGCTGCTCCCCTCAGCAGTGCATTTCAGTAGATCTGCCTGTTCTGCTCCCCACTGTCTCTGGTGAATCTTCTCACACACACCCCCACACCTCTGGCCTGTACCCCAGTTCTTGTATGCGTAAATAAATAAATCTTTAAAAAATAAAATAAAATGTCGATACCTAGTCCTGGTGAGGATATACAGGAACTGGAAATCTCATCCATTGCTGAGGGGATACAAAATGGCATGCCCACGATGTAAAACAGTTTGGCAGCTTCTTATAAAGTTAAACATATAATTACACACAACCCTGAAACCGTATTCTTACGTATTTGCACAAGATAAATGAAAACTTTTGTTTAAACAAAAACCTGTACCTAGATGTTAATAGATGTTTTTTCATATTTGCCAAAACCTGGCAATAACTCAAAATGTACTTCAACTGGTGAGTTGGATAAACAAGTGGGTATCCATTAATATGATGGAATACAGCTCTGAAACAAACAGGAATGAGCTATTGATACACACAACAACTTGTGCAATTCTCAAAGGCATTTGCTAAGTGAAAGAATCCAGACACAAATGATTCCATTAATACGAAATTCTGGAAAAGGCAAAACTATGAGAACAAGCAGATCAGTGAGTGCTAGGAGGAAGGGTGGGAGGAAAGGTTTTATTACAAAGAAGCATGAGGAAACTTTTGGAGTGATGAAAATGTTACATATCTTACTGCAATGCTGCCACTCTTGTCAAAATTCTTAACACTGAGCACATAAATGGTGACTATTACCATATATAAACAATACCTCAACAAACCTGATGTCATTTAAAAAAGGGGTGGGTTGCAGGGGCAGGGAAAGCAGGAAGTTCCAGTGGAGATCTCATTTATGATGTGTTTTTATTCGGACTGGAGTTTTGGTTTTATGTTTTTTGTTTTTGGTTTTTTTTTGGACAAAAACTGTATTGTCAAAAAGTAAAAAGTACTTCAGTTTCCCCTACTGCGCTGTCTCACCATCTGGTCCTGCTGACCAACCAGAGGACAGACAGACAGACAATTCGGACTGGCTTTCGCTTGTGCCATGTCTAGTTCCTCCATGTCGTGGCTGTGAGGAAAGTGGTTCAGCATCTCGGGCAGAGGGCCTAGTGCCGTCTCCTAGGCAGCTGCAGATCTCAATCAATTCCGCCTTCAGAACACGCAACAAGACGCCCGCTGACTGGAGTGTCTTCAAGTGGGAATCCCTTCAGACCCTGGAAAGACTGTTCCTTTTTGTAGTAAAATGAATCTTTGGAAGGTTTTGCAAACTACTTTTCATGAACCAATGAATATTCAAAGAAGTACTTCATTTGAAGGCTGTAAATAAGCTTTTCCCAATAACACGTGGCATAATATATAAACTACTTTTGTCAGCCCTCAACATCTACTTCCCTGAAGTTTCATGACTCTCTATTTCACAGGATAATTATTTTATATGGATGGTAGTAGCATACAAGAAAAAGTTAATACAAAGTTTAAAAATTTTAAATTCATAAAATCAGCTTACTGACATTTTATCAACTAGAACTCACTGTTATATGGCCCTTGTGAATATCTGTAATACAACGAAAACTAGTGATTTGGGCTTGTAGGCATCTTTGCTATAGTCCAAGCAAGATTAAATTATATTTGATGCAGCTTTTGGCTAATGACATGAATCCATCATTACAGTATCATACACAGCATTTTCACTGCACTAAAAATCCTATGCTCCACCTATTTATCTCTTCCCAGCTCCCAGCTGATATTTTTACTATCTCCATAGTTTCGCCTTTTCCAAAATGTCATGCAGTAGGAATCACACAGTCTGTACCCCTTTCAGATTGACATTTAGTAATATGCATCGAAGTATCCCCCATGTCTTTTCATGGCTCATTTCCTTTCAGTGCCGGATAATATTCCATTGTCTGGCTATACCACAGTTTATTTATACATTCAACTACTGGAGGACGTCTTGGTTACTTCTAAGGTTGGCAAGTATGAATAAAGCTGCTACAAACATCCATGTGCAAATTTTTTTGTAAACATAAGTTTATTTTTTTTAATATTTATTTATTTATGCATACAAGAGCTGGGGTACAGGCCAAAGGTGCGGGGTGGGGGGGCGGTGAGAGGATTCACCAGAGACAGAACAGAACAGGCAGATTGACCAAAGTACACTGCTAAGGGGAGCAGCGGGTGAGTCAGGAGAGGTCTGCTGTGCCATGTCGGTTGCTCCTTGGCTGGCTGGGAATCAAACTCATGCTGCAGTGGCTGTGGATAGCTTCATAGGTTGCATCTTAACCCTTGTGCCACCAGAGAGGCCCTGTAAACATAATAATCATTTGGCTAATCCTACCAAAAGCAATATACAGATTCAATGCTATT